GAGAAAGTTCAGTCAGCAGGTTTTGATTCATTTCAAGGGATGGGAAGACAGGGAGTAGAGAAGTGGACAATAGCTGGGAGGTGATGTATAACTTAATATTTTTATGGGAGGTAATAAAACATACTCAAATACTGCTCATAGAGGATAGCAGCAAGTGATCATGTGAGAGAGAGAGGTTCTCAAGTCCCTTGGCTGGAATCCAGAATGGATCCAGCAGAGACAGTGGCCTTGGGAGAGAAAAGGAAGGGGGCAGGTGCTGCTCTGTCTGGACTTTTGATGGTGTGAAAACAGAGCAGCTCCCATTTGCCAGAGAAGTGTGTGTTCAAGGTCATCACCCAAGAAGAGCTGAGAAAGTGAATGCTGTTCATAAATAGGCATGGCAAGGGAATCCCTTTTCTTTTTTTTGCATTCTTAAGGAATATATGAAGTACACAGAAAGCCATAGTTGAGCACTTCTAATCTCGCTGTACACTAGAATACTGATATTTGTATCCTTTAAACTCCTGGGTTTTAAAGAGATACACAGACCAGTCAGTTGCCTAAAAACTCCTTGATAAGAATCATCTCTTCTATTTGGTATCCCAAGTTTCTAAGCCAATCAATCATCGAGTACGCCTTCAAAACTATTATGTATAAATTAACAAAGGGAATACCTATTTAGAAACAAACTATTATATCTAGATATGATATCATACCTATGCAATAAAACTGTGTTACCTTGCAAATTCACTTACAATGGTTTTGAAATAAACCAAAATATTTGAAGTATAGGTGAGAATGAATTATGTAGGAGAGAATACACCAAAAAAAAAAAGATGCAAATCCATTGTAGCATCTTGATTAGTTTCTAATGAGAAGCACATACAGAACAAAAAAGTTATAGAATCGGGCTGGGCATGTGGCTCAAGTGGTAGCACACTCGCCTGGCATGAGCGGAAAGCTGGGTTCAATCCTCAGCACCACATAAAAATAAAATAAAATAAAGATGTTGTGTCCACCGAAAACTAAAAATAAATATTTAAAAATTCTCTCTCTTGAAATAGAAGAAGACCTTAGAAGATGGAAAAATATACCCTGTTCATGGATAGGAAGAACTAACATCATCAAAATGGCGATATTACCCAAAGCTCTCTATAGGTTTAATGCAATGCCAATCAAAATTCCAATGGCATTTCTTGTAGAAATAGATAAAGCAATTATGAAATTCATATGGAAAAACAAAAGACCCAGAATAGCAAAAGCAATTCTAAGCAAGAAGTGTGAGTCAGGAGGTATAGCAATACCAGATTTTGAACTATACTACAGAGCAATAGTAACAAAAACAGCATGGTACTAGTACCAAAACAGGCGGGTGGACCAATGGTACAGAATAGAGGACACAGAGACCAACCCACAAAATTACAACTTTCATATATTTGATAAAGGAGCTAAAAGCATGCAATGGAGGAAGGATAGCATCTTCAACAAATGGTGCTGGGAAAACTGGAAATTCATATGCAACAAAATGAAACTAAATCCCTTTCTCTCACCATGCACAAAAGTTAACTCAAAATGGATCAAAGAGCTTGATATCAAATCAGAGACTCTGCACCTGATAGAGTTAATAACTAGAATCAACAAAGTTAATAACAAGAGTTAATAACTAGAATCAACAAATGGGACTTACTCAAACTAAAAAGTTTTTTTCTCAGCAAGAGAAACAATAAGAGAGGTAAATAGGGAGCCTACATCCTGGGAACAAATTTTTACTCCTCACACTTCAGATAGAGCCCTAATATCCAGAGTATACAAAGAACTCAAAAAATTAAACAATAAGATAACAAATAACCCAATCAACAAATGGGCCAAAGACCTGAACAGACACTTCTCAGAGGAGGACATACAATCAATCAACAAGTACATGAAAAAATGCTCACCATCTCTAGCAGTCAGAAATGCAAATCAAAACCACCCTAAGATACCATCTCACTCCAGTAAGATTGGCAGCCATTATGAAGTCAAACAACAACAAGTGCTGGTGAGGATGTGGGGAAAAGTGTACTCTTGTACATTGCTGGTGGGACTGCAAATTGGTGCGGCTAATTTGGAAAGCAGTATGGAGATTCCTGGGAAGGCTGGGAATGGAACCACCATTTGACCCAACTATTGCCCTTCTTGGACTATTCCCTGAAGACCTTAAAAGAGCATACTACAGGGATACTGCCACATCGATGTTCATAGCAGCACAACTCACAATAACTCGACTGTGGAACCAACCCAGATGCCCTTCAATAGATGAATGGATTAAAAAAATGTGGCATTTATACATAATGGAGTATTACACAGCACTAAAAAATGACAAAATCATGGAATTTGCAGGGAAATGGATGGCATTAGAGCAGATTATGCTAAGTGAAGCTAGCCAATCCCTAAAAAACAAATGCCAAATGTCTTCTTAGATATAATGAGAGCAACTAAGAACAGAGCAGGGAGGAAGAGCAGGAGGAAAACATTAACATTAAACAGAGACGTGAGGTGGGAGGGAAAGGGAGAGAAAAGGGAAATTGCATGGAAATGGAAGGAGACCCTCATTGCTATACAAAATTACATATAAGAGGTTATGAGGGGAATGGGAAAAAAACAAGGAGAGAAATGAATTACAGTAGATGGGGTAGAGAGAGAAGATGGGAGGAAAGGGGAGGGGGGATCGTAGAGGATAGGAAAGGTAGCAGAATACAACATTTACTAGTATGGCATTATGTAAAAATGTGGATGTGTAACCAGTGTGATTCTGCAATCTGTATTTGGAGTAAAAATGGGAGTTCATAACCCACTTGAATCTAATGTATGAAATATGATATGTCAAGAGCTTTGTAAAGTTTTGAACAACCAATAAAAAAAAATTCTCTCTCTTTCTCTCTCTGTCTCTTAAAAAGAAAAAAGTTATAGAATCGTATAGTGGAATGGTCCAGATGATTAATTATAACTGTTGAAGTACATAAGTAATACTTATAAAATTGATTTTGAAATTGTTTTTAGAGAGACTACAGCATCATATATTTTTATTTGTTATAAACTGTTTAACTATTGATACCCATCAGGGACTAAAAATAATGGTGTTATTTTTTTAATATGCATCTTCTATTTATTTGACACTTTTATCCAGCAGAAAATCAGAACCCCTTTAGGAGTCACTCTGTTGTCTGTAACATCTGAGCTTGTACTTATGCAGAAACTCATTTCCTGTATAGATTATTTGGTCTGTTTGCTTCCTTCTTTTAGCTGCTAGAAACTTTTCTTGTTTCTCTTTTCTAATCCTCTCCAGGGGAAATATAGGAGCCAGAACTTAGAATTCCCATGTCTCTTTATCTCTTAGTAATTCTAGTGAAATTATCACAAGAAAGAGGTCTGTGATTACTAAAATAAAGATAGGAGTGGTCTATAGGAATGACCTATTATCTGAATATCCACTACCATGACTCACTGAGTATTGAGGAGACAGTCAACACTCTATATTGATATAATTATAAAGAATTTTGAAATTCCATCTCTTTCACAACTCCTTTCTCATCCTTCCTCTTAGCTCCACCCAGTACACACCCACTCATCAAAGATATGTACATGAAATGAAATTACTCAAATTAACAGTACTAATCATTCTTACCATTTGCTATGTAACCTGGTACATACATAGCATGACTTCCCAGGACAGAGTGGGCTACGGCGCTTACGCTGGGAGAATGATTGACATGCACTTTCAAGCTATATCTACCATTTACAGCAAAGGAGAAAAAATACCTCGAGTATATTCCATCATTTTTTATAACATCAGCACCTGTATAGACAAAGATTCAATGTCAATACTTGTCATCATAGTTGATTGCTAATATTTAATGCTACTAAAATAACATTTCTCCTCTTATTCTTTTCATTTTAGTGTCTGTTATCATGATTATTGCTATTTTTTATTTTATGAGGTAACTAAAGACTAATGGTCCGATAATTTCTTCCTGTTATTTCTTAGCCTCTGAAAAAATTATTTTCTAAAGGTGAGTGAGTTGTACCTACTACAGTTTTAATAAAACACTTAAAAATCATCTTTAAAGCTTTCATTCCTATCATTGAAAATGATACTAGTTTTCCCTAGAAACCAAGCATATTTTTAAGCTTATTTATGGTCATAAACTCTTTTGAAATAATATATATTCTGCCTCTAAGAAATAAATTTGTATTCACATATACACATTTTCATACAATTTTCAAGAGTTCATGAATGACCTGAAGCTGTTTGACTAAGAATCTCTAGTATGGCGATATGTAAATCAGTGGATATGTAACCGATGTGATTCTGCAATCTGTATATGGGGTAAAAATGGGAGTTCATAACCCACTTGAATCAAAGTGTAAAATATGATATGTCAAGAACTATGTAATGTTTTGAACAACCAACAATAAAAATTTAAAAAAAAAAAAAAAAAATCTTAGGAAAAAAAAGAATCTCTGTTGGGGGGAAGAAAACAAAAACAAAAACAGAAGAACTTTGGTTGTTGATAAAATTGTATGGAATTGCTTAATTTCCTCATTAGAGAGTACATGGAATTGTTCTAGATTCTAAGAGGACTGATAACCTGGAGTTTGGCAGCTTTGGTTCTGTCCACAGTGCCATGATTCAGGGGACGTGCTGATAGCTTTGCCAGTGCTAGACTCCCTTCCTTTTGCACTGATCCTCAGAGAGCAGTTCAATTCAGAGCCAAGTCTATGAATGGCAGGAGGACCTAGACCCCAGAATAGCAGGTAGGCCAAGTACAAGTCACATTCACCATTCAAGTGCAGGTGGCCTCTTTGGACAAGCAGCTTCTCCTACCCAGTTGTCAATTCAGTTCTCACACCACACCCCCAGCCCTGAGTCCCAGCACTATACCATTGATAAAGTAGAATCTTCCTCTTCCCTACTGCAGAAGCAGGCTCCTTAACATGAGAAAAGCAGAGCATATTTAAGTAAAATAAATGCTAAACATCTTATTATCAAGGTAGATTTAGCAAACTTTTTTCTATTGGAAATAAATAAATAAGAGTATAGTATTTATGAGCAATTTTTTTCTATCAGAAATAAATAAGAGTATAGTACTTAGTGATTTAATGACTAATAAGATGGTTTAACATTGTTGAGAAATTCAAAGAAAAATATCTCCATCACACAGTCAGCACTGCCAGCTCTGTTAATCGCTGAGGCAGAAAGAAATGGGGAAAGACCATTGGCTTGAGAGTTAAGAAAGTTCACTTTAAGATGTGGATCTGCCACTTAGTGGCTTTGAAGCTTAATATCTCACTTTTATTTCTATAAAATGGGATAACTTATCATACAGGGTTGCTGTGATAGTTACCTGAGAGTATGCATGAGAAAGTACACTGTTAAATTATAAATCATTTGGTAAGTACAATTTTATTGTTTTTCATTAATTTTACTTTGCAGATAAATACTTCTTCCATTACAGAAAGTATTACACAACTATGCACATGTGTGTTGAATGTTGGGATGCAGACTAAATTTACACTTTAATGTCTAAGTAGCATTTTTCAAACAAATGAAATGATTCAGGGAATAAATATAAAAGCCTATTGAATTGAATCAGGTGATTTTCCCTAAGAGAACAGGATCTATTCTCCAGGCCAGTTCACAGACTGGAGCAAGGGAGAAACATTCTGTACAGTGCATATTTGGACTGTACACTACAAAATGAAAGCTCAGGCCCTGCATAAGCAATCAGAACATGAGACGTTCATTTGTCTCCATTCCAACAGGCAAACAAGAAAACGTCTTAGTATCCCCCTGAGATGAAACTGAAGTACAGTCCTCTGAATGAACTTTGTTCATAAATGTCATACATGATTGCTGTGGTAAGCTAGCTGCACTACAAAAGGGCTGCCAAAACCAAGAATCTTGAAAAACATCAACTTAAAATAACAAGAACAGAGGTATGTGATTTTATTAGCACATTAAATATTTGGGACTACCAATATAGACTTCAGGGTCTATTATCATTCTGAGAATTTAGTTTAGGAAAAGAACAGAATGGGAAACAAGAAATGAGGAACAACAAAATAGTTTTAAAAATTCAGTCAGAAAGAGTCCAAGTGCTGCTGTCTGCCTGGCCAGATGCTCTGCTATCCATACTGTATAACATGGGGCTCTTGATTCCACTAACCTGCTGGCCTATGAGAATTTGAGATGGAAAAATAAAAATAATTGAATTAAAGAAATTTAAGTAGGCTTATGTCAATGCAACTTCACCATACGTGGCAACTCTCGTGAACATGTAGAGCACCATGACATTCCTCATTACCTGCTCCATCGTCGGAAAGTTTCAGCATGACAGGATCTCCAATCTCTGGCTCAACCATCGCTGTAACCGTGGCATTAAGAATGGGGTAAAACCCTCTTTTTACATTTGCATAAATTATCACGGGATGAGGAAAATAGGTGCTATCTCTTTCCACAAAGGCTTCCACAGTGGCTGGGGGCCCAGTGGAGCTGGAGGCACGGGAGGCCACTGTCACTTTCAGGGCCTGAGGAGAATGGTGTGTATTGTTCAAGCTGTATATCCAGTGCCCAGGCTGCAAACAAAGGGTTTTTGTTTTATAAAATGTGAGGGGAAAAATTAACAATTTTAAAGCATACATCTAAGATCTTAAGGGTGGGGAGTTTAGATGCCATCACCTGCATAGTCTTCTTTGTTGGAATTCATATGCTTTGCCATTTTCTAGTGAAGTCTCATTTGAGCATTAAGATCACCTATCTATTCTTGTTTCGGAATCATAACATTAGTAACAGATGAATGTCAGGAATCTCCACATCAAAAATATTTCTATGGTGTTTTGATACAGGGCACCTAATCCAGACTAAGGGGTTGGGCAAATGGAACAAGAAAAAGGAATCGTGTTTGCCCTTGTGCACAGATGTGAAAAGAATACAATGAGCTGCAGAAAAGTTCAATAGGATCAGAACATAAAGTAATTGAGAGGAAGGTCAAGCAAGAAAGGTTGATCAGATTTGCGCTTCAGAAGGATCGTTCTGAAGGAGGTGAAGAATTGGAGGGATGCCAGTTAGAGTCAAGGCCAGTTAAGAGATTGCCAACAGCGATGGAGGCAGGGATAGTGTGTGATAAGGCACTGAGTTCAGGCAGTACAAGAGCTGATCTAATCAAACCACTGCCCTGCTTAAAACTTTCAGTGGTTCCCCTTCACCACCAGGATTTAAGCCCCTCCTACCTTTATTCTGCAAAGCTCTTACTGATGTGGCTCTTCATTCCCTACTTCCTCCTTTACCTATATTCCCAGGCAATGTGCTATTGTAGTTCATCTATATTGAACTACTTGCAGTACTACGAACAGCAATGTTATTTTTCTCTGAGCCTCTCTATGTGCTGTACCTACCTTGTGGCCCCTTTATTCCCCATATTTCCATTTTAAAGTCCTCACTTCCAGAAAGCATTTTTCCTTCCCACCCTTCTGTATGCTCTGATAGTGCCTTGTTACTTACTCCTTTCATGGCATCTTATTGTAAATCACCTACAAGATCAAGCAGGTACTCAAAAGCATGTGTATTGCATTGTTCATGTTATAAGTTTTAAGTAGAGAATTTTTCCTAAGCATATAGAAAAGTATGTCCATATGGATTACATAAAGAAGGATGTAAAGTAGAAAAAAATTATTTGTACTACTAGTAGAAATACTAATTTCCACTGTTCGAGGTAGAAGTTTTTATGTGAAGTTCTAAATATATTTTAGTTGCTCCTCTTAAGTTTTTAACGTCTACAAAAATTTTTCATAAAATTTAAAGTTTTGATATATCAAAATAAAATCTCATTTACACACTAAATTTAATAATGTGATTCAATTGAAAGTCAGTTGGCTAAATGTTGTTATAAATGTGTGTTGTTATAAATAATTCCTTAACACCTACCTTGGCAGTTCCCGGGATCAAAAGGCTGGCTGTCCGAAAAGCCTCATTGATGATAAAATTATTCAAGTAGTATTTTCTTCCAGTAGGATCAAGTAATACAATCTCAGGGGGACCACTGGTCTGCCACATGACTAGGAAGATAGTGTCATTGCCCACACTGTTATCCACAGTCACAGTGTTTTTCAATTGATGATAAGGGCTAACATTTTCACCCATGCTTTCAAGCTGTTAAAAAGAATATATATGTGAAAGTTTCTAGTGTATAAATGATCATTTCTCCTTTTTCTTGACTTTTTTGACAAACAAAAACAAATTTGCAAGAATAAAAACATTTAATTTTGACATATAAAATTTTCATATAAAAATGCTTTTCCAAAACAAAATATTATATAAGTGGTGCTAAAATATTTTGTTGTTGTTAATGCAAGTATCCTTTCATTATTCTTTTTTTATATATATGACAGCAGAATGCATTATAATTCTTATTACACATACAGAGCACAATTTTTCATATCTCTAGTTGTATACAAAGTATATTCACACCAGTTTGTGTCTTCATATATGTACTTTGGATAATAATGATCATCACATTCCACCATCATTAATAACCCTATTCCCCTCCCTTTCCCTCCAACTCCTCTGCCCTATCTAGAGTTTGTCTATTCCTCCCATGCTCCCACTTCCTATCCCACTATAAGTCAGCCTCCTTTTATCAAGGAAAACATTTGGCATTTGGATTTTGGGGATTGGCTAACTTCACTTAGCATTATTTTCTCTAACTGCATCCATTTACCTGCAAATGCCATGATTTTATTCTCTTTTATTGCTGAATAATATTCCATCATATATATATATATATATATATATATATATATATGCGCTACATTTTTTTTATCCATTCATCTATTGAAGGGCATCTAACTATTCCTCTCCTCCTCCTATATCCAAAGGACTTAAAAACAGCATACTACAGGGACACGGCAATATCAATGTTTATAGCAGCACAATTCACAATAGCTAAACCATGGAACCAACCATCATTATTCTTTATCAAGAATGATTTAGTTGTTCTCATATCATCTCTCATCAGAATGAACATTGGCCTCAAATCAGCAATTAGAATAACAAACTTTAAAAAAATTTTGTTTGTGAATGTACTTAAATTGTTTTAATTTTTAGATAACATACCCAGGTACTTTTATAGATTTTAATAAGAAATAAATTTAGGTTTACATGCTGCATTAAATAATGTGATTCAATTGAAAGTCAATTGGCTAAATGTTGTTATAAATGTTGTCACTTGTAATAAATCGTCTGCACATGAGTGTGTGCTTCTGTGCATGTTCACATGTGTATAACATGTACTGTACATATATGTGCCTGGCACTGTGCTAAATACTTCACGTATATTGTATCATCTGTTCTTTATGGAAACCTTCTGAGACAATACTGTTTACATTTTTACAGATGAGAAGTAATTTGCCCAATGTCATAACAGCAAAAACGTGGAATAGGATAAAACTCATGTGGGTTGGCACCACCAGAGCCTCTGCATCTAATCACTGGGTATTCGCAATAGATACAAGTCTGTAAATAATTTTTAAATTACATTTATTAAAAACATTAGAATACTGTAAAATTGCTCAAACCTGGAAAAATCATATTAGCGAATGGCAGCAAAGGTATCATGGAACAAATAACAAGTGTCTGTGGGCTGCCAATGGCTATGCTGTACTCTCTACTGGGACCTGGGCTGCTGAAGGGACTTTAGAGGTGGCTTCTGCCCTAGGAGAACTAATGATATGCAAACAATAGGGAGCAGCAGCCAATGTTGGGAATGCTAAGACTAATTTGAGACCATATGAAGACTATTTTATATTAAATTTGGTTTTCATGGTTTTTTAACAGTTGGTTTTATACCACGTTAAAGAGGAAATAACAGGGTATAAAGATTATGGGGAATTGGCAAGAGAATTGGTTATAGTCCAATCTATCTATAACATATATGTCATTTATAACTCACATTTTTACTTTATCTTTTATAATTTAAATTTATTTTAACTGATAAAAACATAAAAATTGCACTTATTTATGGAGCACCATATGATATGTTGATATAAGTATACACTGTAATTTTTAACTCAGGTAAAACATTTTATCTCTGAATTTATCATTTCTTTAGGGTGAAAACACTCAAAATCCTTTCTTCTAGTCCTTTGAAATATATCATACACTGTCAATGTCTATAGTTACACTGCTATGCACTAGCACACCAGAACCTCTTACTCCTAACGAAAATTTACTATCCAACAATCCACCTCTTCCCATTTCTCCCTCTCCCCTACTCTCTATGGCCTCTGGCAACTACCATTCCACCCTCATCTTCTTCTATGAGATCAGCTTTTTTATATTCCACCTATGAGTGAGATCATGTGCTACTTATCTTTCTGTGCCTGGCTTATGTCATTTACTATCGTGATTTAATCTTGGTATGTGTCTAGAAAAGTGTCCATTTCTCTTAGGTTATCGGATTTGTTGATAGTTGTTCACAATAATCTCTGATGAATCTGTGTATTTGTTTGGTGTCAGCTGCCATGTCTCCCTTTTTATTTCTGATTTTATTTATTTAAGTCTTTCCTCAATTTTTATTAGTCTAGCTAAGGCTATTTCTCTTTTGCTTTTCCCTTTTGAAGAACAGGTCTTTATTTCCTTAAGCTTTTGTATTTTTTTTTTTTAGTCTCCATTGCATTTATTTCTGCTCTGATCTTTATTATTTATTTCTTTTCTCTTTCTGGCCTTCTCTCCTTCCTGTCTCTGGTCTTTATTACATTATTTCTTTCCTTCTACTAATTTGAGGTTTGATTTATTCTTGTTTTCCTAGTTTCTTGAGATGCATTAATTGGTTGTTGATTTGAGAACTTTCTGCTTCTTGATATAAATTTATTGCTTTAAGCTTCCTTCTTAGCATTGCTTTTGCTGTATCACATAGGTTTTGGTATGTTATATTTCCATTTTCATTTGTTTCAAGAAATTTTTAAATTTCTTGATTTTTTTTTTACTTGATCCATTGGTTGTCCCAGAGTAAGTTGTTTAATTTCCTTGTATATGAATAATTTCCAAAGCTTTTCTTTATATTGACTTCTATTTTATTGCACTATAATTAGAAAATATACTCAATGTGATTAAAACTTTAAAAAATTTGTTGAGACTTGTTCTGTGGCCCAACATATCCTGAATGTGGCATGTGCTGTTGCGAAGAATGTGCCTTCTGCAGTTGTTCTGTGGAAAGCCCTTCGGATGTCTATTAGGCTTGTATGATCTAGCGTGAAGTTTAACTCTGCTATTTCCTTGTTGATCTTCTGTCTGGATTGATCATATGGTATTAAATTCGATACTAGTCTTGTATTGGGATCTGTCTCTCATTTAGGGTCTTTTAATATTTGCTTTTAATTGGGTGCTCTGATATTAGGTATGAACATAGTAAGGATTGTTACTTACTCTTGCTGAGTTGACCCTTTTATCATTATATAATGATATTCCTTATCTATTTTTTACTGCTTTTGATTTAAAGATCTCTTTGATTAGATGCGAGTATAGATACTCTCGCTTTCTTTTGGATTCAGTTTGCATGGGATATCTTATTCTGTCTGTTCATTCTGTCTATGTGTTTCCTTAGAGGTGAAATAAGTTTTCTGTGAGCAACATATAGCTGGGTCTTTTTAAAAAAATCTATTTAATCACTCTATGCCTTTTAATTGGAGAATTTAATCCTTTTAATGTAATTATTAATAGGTAAAGTCTTACTACCACATTTTGTAACTTGTTTTCTAGTTTTACTATTTTTCTTTTTTTCCTCCCTTATAGTCAGTCTTCCTTTGAGGTTAAGTGGTTTACTAGTGTGTTCTGATTCCTTGCTTATTACCTTTGGTTTGTCTGTCACAGATTTTTGCTTTATAATTACCATGAAGCTTACGAAATACATTTTTAATAATAAGCTATTTTAAAATGAGAGCAAATAACACAGTTATAAAGATAAGAAAATAAACAAAAAAAAAGAGAAAAAACAGACTAATGAAACTCTGCGCTTTCACTCCATTCCTTCCCACAATTTGGATTTTTGATATTCAATTTTACATCTTTCTCTATTGCCTATCTCTTATTTTATTAATGTGCCTATTATAAGTTATTTTATATTTTAGCCCTCATACTACAGATAGGAATGGTTTGTGTTCCATGTTTACAATATTAGATGTTTCTAAATACATCTGTACAGTCAACCTTCTGATGTTTTCCTCTTACTCGTGAAGATCTCCATCTTCCAGTTTGAAGAACTCTATTTAGCATTTCCTGTGACAGGTCTGGTGAGCACATACTCTTTCAGCTATTGCTTGGGAACGTCTTTATTTTGTAACTTCATTTCTAAAGCTGGGTAGAGGACTTTGGGTTTAAAGTTTTTATCTTCAATATTGTGACATCTCATGCCATTCTTTGGCCTAAAAGGTTTCTGCTAAGTCTATTGTCAGACAAATTGGGACACCTTATGTGTTATTTGTTTCTCTTCACTTGTTACTTTATGAATCATCTCTTTATCTTTAACATTAGAGAATTTGATTACAATATGTCTTGGGCATTTTTTTTTTACTTCTAATAAGGTGGTTATTGCCTTTTCTGTGTACATATCACCTTCATGTTAAATATTTCCTAACAATGTACTGAGTTCATTGTTTACATCAAGTTATTAACCTGGCAGATTCACTCACCATCTGTAAGGAAACTGAAGATGAAATTCTGTTCAAAACATTATTCAGTTATGTCTAGGATATTTAAAATAATTAGAAAATATCAATCCTTTTAAAAATGGCTTAATTAGTAAAGAAGCAAAAGTAAAATACCATCTGGTCAGTGGGAAGTTATCATGGAATTGAAACTAAATACAGTTTCCTATATTTCTTTTGGGTTTTGCACCAACCCACTCCCCCACCCCCACTTGCACTTTGAGTCACAAAGAAGTAAGCTTTCTCACAGACCTTGAAAAACAGAAGTAGTAATTATAGAAAATGGCTCCTAAAGAAGTACAGGCATCACCTGGCTCTTGCAACACCAAGAAGCTCAGTAAAAGCCTTCTACACACAGATGATTACATACTCCAATGAAGTGAATGGAACAGTTGGTACAATTCATCTGTTTCCCTAGCTTTCCCTCCCCCTCATCAATGAAGGCAACATTGAAGAAATACTGACCTGAATGCTCTGTTGAAAAAGGTCTCCACTTCCAGAGGAAATTCTACTGAAAGCATCAATCATGCTATTAGAGTTTGGTTTATCTGGAACGTAAAACTTTAAACCTCCTGAAATAGAAATTGGGAAATTAACTATATAGGATAAAATAAAACAAACAAACAAACAAAAAGATAGACCTTTCCCAACAAACTTTCTTTGTATTGGAGTATTAGTTTCAGGAGGGTTGGAGCTGAGCTTGATATACTGTGTGATATACTGCACAGTAAGTGGCCGTAGGGGTTAGTTTTATCTGCTCTGTTCACAGCTGTATTGTCCAGGTCTAGGATTCTTCCCATTATATCAGAACTAAATAAGTGCTTATTGAATAGTTTGGGATCATGGCAACTACTAGATAACTTAGGTTAATTGCTATCTATATTGCTATATATTTATATTTATGTTCTGAAAACACCACTTTCAGAAATAATTCAATAAGTCCTAATTTTCAATAGTAAAATCAGCATACTCATTTTTATCAAATATAAGGAATATAAGTTTATCAGTGCTTCATCAAAATTAAAAGGATATGTAACTCACAATACTGTACACATCCCTATTATGGATGTTAGTGTAGTTAGTCTTAAACATGTTTTTTAGCTCCATGATTATTCATCCTTAGGCTGGTTTAACAAAGAAATTATGCAAATATATTTTTATTGGACATTCTAAATAAAATATAAAAACAAAATCAACAAAATTTTATCAATGTTTTGTTGTATACTTTTAAGAAAACATTTTCTATTTTTTCAATTAAGCCAGATAATGTGAGTTTGATGATTGTGTTTTGAAAATTCGAGTTTAAGGGCTGGGGATGTGGCTCAAGTGGTAGCGCACTCGTCTGGCGTGCGTGCGGCCCAGGTTCGATCCTCAGCACCACATACAAACAAAGATGTTGTGTCTGCCGAAAACTAAAAAATAAATATTAAAAAAAAAATTCTCTCTCCCTCTATCACTCTCTCTTTAAAAAAAAAAAAAAGAAAATTCGAGTTTAAAAGATACAATCTAACAGATAAGTTTTTAGAAATTTATTACCAGTAACATGGGATAATTCCTCCAGGTTTCCCACCGCAGAGGAGCCCAGGACAATGGAGTGGACGGTTGACCCACTGCTGAGCACTGTGAGCAAGCAGTTGCCAATGTGCTCATCACCTCCACTGGTCACTAATATCATCACAGAGCCATAGGTTTTGCCATTCAGTTTTTCAACCACCTGAACATAGAATATCAGTCATTTCAAAGGAAATAAAGTTCAAACTGTCTTATTTAGCAGGAGAATTCACTCTCAGTCTAAATTCCTTAACAGTGGGACACATGCCTTTTGGAGGTCTTCCATGAATCTTCACACTCTGTGCCATCCCCACTCAGTCCTCACCTCACCCAGGCACAGCACTCGTTACCCCATGTGCCACTGCCAAGTTGCTTGTGGGCAGGCACTTTTCCTGTTCCAGCACCACCATGTGTCCATAGCTAAGAACAGTGTCCACCATAGAGGATATGGGCTTTGTCACTGAATGAGAACTTTGCCTCTGAGACCCAGCAAGTGCTTAGAGCAGTGTTTCTCAACCATGGCTACATATGAGAATTACATAAAGAGATTTAAAATTTTTTAATGATCAGATCACCCCCAGAACAATGAAATCAGTCTCTTGGGGATGAAACCAAGGCATCAATTGATGGTGGTGGTTTTGGCACTGGGGATTAAATCCAGAGCTTCATACATACAAAGCATGTGCTCTACCCTCAGCCTCTAAGTATTTTTTAATTATGAGACATCAGTGGACAGTCTAAGTGGAGACATAACTTGACTATAGGCAGCCTGAGGTTTTGCTTGCTACCAGATGCTTGACACATGGCTGCAGCTCAGATGCTCTTTTAGAAAGACTCTGACATTCCTGAATGTCAGAAACATACTCATTTTGACTAGAAAAACCAAGGGTAACTCTGGCTACAGCTGGGACAGACTCAGAATAAATAGGAACAGTTTTAAAGGTGCTCAGATATTGTCTCTCATTCTTGGCCATGGTATTCATTTATTTGTTCATTCCTTCAATAAGCATTTACCAAGCAACCATTACATGCTGAGTACTTTTCAAGATGAACAAGACATTGTCCTGGGATTTTACCGATAATCCATCCATTGCTCTCCCATAGCTGAGGCTGTAGTAACCACATGGTAATAGATTACCCCTAATTAGAAAGAACCTCAGAAACAAAATGAAGGAAAGAATAATAATGGTGATGGAGCTTAGGATACTCTACTGTACCTCAAATCCTTTTTTAAGCCCTGAGCAGATACTGGTTTCTGCTTCAGCTGACACAGTGGTAGGCAGATACGAAACCAGCAGCTTTCGGTCATCATCACTGTTAATTTGATGTAGCTGGGCTCGGATCTCTCCTTTACCATCGAAACTCACAATGCCCACAAAAGAATGAATTTCAACAATCTGCATCAAGTAAAATTCAGCTGCTTGTTGCAGTTGGAGGAGTCTGTCAGCCTACATCCCAAAAGGGGGAAAAAAAAAAACAGATGACAATGTCTGATTTGTAGACAAAAGTATGAAGTAAGTAATTCAATTAGAAAATGTCTCTAATTCTTTAGAGATGTTGCATTATAGTTTTTTGAGTTTTAAAGAGTGACATACTACTAGAATATTGTTCTATTAATTGCAGGTTCAAAATGCATGTTTGTGGAGAAGGAGGGATGGTTTGGAACAAGCTAGCTCTTTATAATAAGAACACATATCTTCACTATTTCTCTACATCTCAGAACAAATTGAGTCTAGATTTGTAACCACTTCTTTTAAAATTTAGTGCAGGTAAGAGGCAACATTGCAAAGAGACCCTGTGGTGGAGAGGAGTAACAATCAAGGGACCCGATGTCTACCTCTATGTTGCTATCCTCTTTTATGGTGGCCCTCTTAGGCTGGACACTTCATCCATATTGTGAGGTTAATAGTATCTTTTCTGATTAGTACATTAGAATTGCTGTGAGGATCAACTGAGATACTTAACACAGTATAAAGTGATATCAGTGGCCAGGTTTGTACAGGTGATGCTACTGATTAATTCACATCAGTCACTTGTTTTGAAGGCTATGAGGAAAGAGAAAGGAGCAGCAAGCTGAGCTTCATTGACGACCTCATCAGGGATGATGGTGATCTTTTCCTTCAATCCAAACAGTTCCTCTAATACCCAGACCCCATTTCACACATTTTAGTCCCACACATATCTTAATGTCCCAATATATGTCTCTAACTCTTCATACTGTTAATTCATTCCTAATCTTGACCTCTGTTCCCAACTAATAAGCCAGAAACCTGGAACTGTCTCTTACCATTCTTCTTACCAACCCCCATGTCCTTGAACAGGTCATGTCAATTCAATGTTAGTTATAACCAGACCCATCAATGCCTTCCTTCTAATGTTACCTCTTGGCCCCTGCACGCACACTTTCCTTTCCAGGAATACCCTCCCTTTTCTTCCCTCATCTCATCCAACCTAGCCAGATGCCACTCATCATGCAAGATTCAACTCCAGGTGCACATTGTCAGTGAAGCCCTTCTCTAGCACCCCCTTCCACAGCCCAAGATGAGGCCTGGTCGCTACCCCACAGTGACTCACACCTCAGTGGAGACCTATCACACATGTTTATTCACATGTGTGTGTCATGTATCTCTTTGTATTATGTTTTAAGGCAGATACCCTGTTCTTGACATCTCTGTGCCCACCACCCAGGCCAGCACTGTGTGAGTACTTGATGAATGAATGTTCAATGAGCTTGTTACTTTGGGCTCATTTCTTTTCTACTTATTTTAGGTCTTCTCTCAAAAACAATTATCTTTCCCTTCCTCTTCATTCATTATTGCTCAACAGGGTCAGGGAGCCAATATAAATTACACAGAGACCATATTTGGGGAAATCATGCCCTGTTCAACTGCAGGCAGGCAGCATGTCCACATTATCCAGCTGCTGATTGCTGAAGTGGATTTCCTAATACTTCAGAGGCAAACATTCTCTGACTGTTGATCCTAGGAATAAAGACAGGAGAAATTCTCTCCTTGACAAGTACTATAATAAAAATGACACTAACAGTTATTGATTATGAGCCAAAAATTTTATATTTATTGTCTCATTTGTTCCCCCTCAAAAACTTATTAAAATGGATAGTGACATGCTGGTAAATATTTAATAACTGGCTTTCTGGCTAAAAAAAATGAGCTCTGACTTGTAGCAGTTACCAATTTCTATGGAATACATATTCCTACCCTGGCTGATATCAGGTTATCAAAGTGATATCACTGAATGCAGAGGGGAGAAAAGATGTTTAGGAGCAAAGCAGCAAACCCATATGGAAAGATAAGGGATCAAGAGA